TAATAGTGAATGTTTTTCTCTTTGGGGAATCACCCTGCCTTGGCAGGAGATGGCCATTGATATAAAAAATTTAATGCTTATTGTCTCAATTTAGACTTGTTTTGCAACATGTATCCTCGTTATTGTTGCCAATATTCACTTTTGATTCCTTATAACTGTGTAGCAAATGCTATAAAGGTGGAAATTTTTCAGCTTGGGCAAGGCTGTGGAGGATGCTGTTAACGGGGTGTTCATTGCTTCTCTTAAGATGGGAGCTTTCTATGGCATGTGGACCTGGCTGCTCCACTCATTATTCTCCACCAATATTGTTTACATTCCATCAGGTATGTGAGCCTGGCTGTTACACACTTTTCCACCAATATGGTTTGCAATCTATTAGGTGGACCTGGCTGCTACTCTCTTTTCCACCACCATGGTTTACTAAACCTTAACCCTTTCAGGGTTGGAACTCCTAATCTGAAACTTGCTCTCAGGGTCAGAGACTTTAAAAAAAAAAAAAATTCTTGTGAAATGACAGATCTTCCATCTACTAAACTCATAGCTAATTTGTTAGTATTCCTTTTATTCTATCAAGTGAGTACAAGAAACTGCTCATTTACCTATTTCAACTACCCAATAAAATGATTAGAAACTGGTAATCTGGCCAGTTTCACACAAAATTCAGAAGCTGCCAGTTTCAAATTAAGGTTCAGAATAAAGTGTAGACATTCCTGGCACTAAAACATTTCCTCTGTTCATTAGTCACATCCTCAGGCCTCTTTACACAAAAAATAAAGGATTGACTCTTATGCAGACTACTGCATTATTGTAATAATTGTATAAACAATGTCAGTGCATTTCTGAATGTGTATTAGACCGACCAGTTGGATGGGTATTGGATGAGTGACATAATTTGTGTACTCAGGAATATCAGCAAAAATCAAACAGTTCTGCTTGTTTGAGCTCAGTTTCAAGCTATTTTGTTTTGAAACCAGTCAAAATGTGTCTCCCATTCTATCAAATGAGACCAAGAAACCGAGAATACAAACATAAAAACTATACGAAAATACACCTCAGTCACTGTTGTAATCAGAAACACTGTCACAATTTTTTTATCCCATTATGCACTGTGTGCTGCAGGATTTTTTTTATAAGGTGCACACTCACCACTTGGACCCTTTCTCTCGTACCTAGGTCCAGATTTACCACTCACAGCTTATGAGAAAGTTGAGTTCATGGAGTAGTACTGCGGGGCTGACCCAGGCTTCAGAGCTGTAGAACGATACGAAGAAAAAAGAAAAATAGAGCCTCCATATGCATATCCATCAGATATGTGTATGCACAGTATTTACAATACACTAAATTAAAGCATTGCAAGGGGCTTGGACATGCAGCAGGCATGTGTGAGTGTGTTAAGATAGGAGTGAGTGGAGACGAATGGTTTTTGGGACCTGATGAGCTATTGGAGTGTGAGCAGGGTAATATTTTGTGAAAGGATTCAGAGAAACCAGTTAGCTGGACTTGAGTCCTGATTGTGTGCTGTAGGTTGGTAAAATTTTCACCTGCCTCCACTCTGAGGGCCATAGCATTACTACTTTTGCATATCATTAACTAAAACTTTCCCAAAGTCAGTATTACGACTTTGGGAAAGTAAAATTTGATCAAAATTGGAAGTGATGAGGAGGGGACAAATTCCAACTACTGTTATGGAAACCTGGAGGAGATAATAACTAGAACCGAGTATACTACAAACTCTGATCATACAATAAAGTGAAAAAATAATGTGAGAGACCTGGGAGTGGTAATGTCTGAGGATCTCACTTTCAAGGATCACAACAGTGCCACAATCACAACTGCAAAGAAAATGATAGAATGGATAATGAAAACATTCAAGATTATGATCCTTTTCATATCACTTGTTCTCTCTAGGCTGGAATATTACTGCACATTAACATCTCCATTCAGAGCAAGTGAAATTGCAGATCTTGAGAATGTACAGAGAACGTTTCTGCACATATAAGTTCTATCAAACACCTCAACTACTGGGAATGCTTGGAAGCACTTGACTTGTACTCGTTGGAACTGAGGCGAGAGATATATAATCTACACTTGAAAAATCCTAGAAGGGGTGGTCCCGAAACTGCACAAAGAAATCACTCCCTACAGAAGTAAAAGACTTGGCAGGCGATGCAAAATGCCCCCAATGAAAAGTAGGGGCACCATTGGTACACTAAGTGAAAACACCATAAATGTCCGGGGCCCAAGACTATTCAACAGCCTCCCACCATGCATAAAGGGAATTACCAATAGGCCCCTGGCTGCCTTGAAGAGGGAGCTGGAGAGATACTTAGTTGGTGCCAAATCAGCTGGGCTGTGATTCGTACATTGGACTACGTGCGGCCAGCAGTAATAGCCTGGTTGATCAGGCCCTGATCCATTGAGAGACCTGGTCTTGGACCGGGCTGCAGGGGCGTTGATTCCTGGAATACCCTCCAAGTAGACTCCAGGTAGACCCCTGATCCAGTTGACATGAAATGAATCTATTGAAGATTGTGGTTATTATTTGAGCACCACCCTGCCTTGGAGAGAGAGTGAGAGTGAGAGTGAGAGTGTGAGTGAGAGTGTGAGTGAGAGTGTGAGTGAGAGTGTGAGAGAGAGTGTGAGTGAGAGTGTGATGAGATGTGGTGAGTGTGTGAGAGAGAGTGTGAGAGAGAGTGTGAGAGAGAGTGTGAGAGAGTGTGAGAGAGAGTGTGAGAGAGAGTGTGAGTGTGTGAGAGTGTGTGTGATGTGTGAGAGTGTGAGTGAGAGAGTGTGAGAGAGAGAGTGTGAGAGAGTGTGAGGAGAGAGTGTGAGAGAGAGAGTGTAAGAGAGAGTGTGAGAGAGAGAGTGTGAAGAGTGAGAGAGAGAGTGTGAGAGGAGTGTGAAGAGAGGAGTGGAGAGAGAGTGGAGAGAGTGTGAGAGAGAGTGTGAGAGAGAGAGTGTGAGAGAGTGTGAGAGAGAGTGTGTGAGAGAGAGAGTGTGAGAGAGAGGTGTGAGAGAGAGAGTGTAGAGAGAGTGTAGAGAGAAGTGTGGAGAGAGTGTGAGAGAGAGAGAGTGTGAGAGAGAGAGTGTGAGAGAGAGGTGTGAGGAGAGAGAGGTGAGAGAGAGAGTGTGAGAAAGTGTGAGAGAGTGTGAGAGAGTGTGAGAGAGTGTGAGAGAGAGTGTGAGAGAGAGTGTGAGAGAGAGAGAGTGTGAGAGAGAGTGTGAGAGAGAGAGTGTGAGAGAGAGAGTGTGAGAGAGAGAGTGTGAGAGAGAGTGTGAGAGAGAGTGTGAGAGAGAGAGTGTGAGAGAGTGAAGAGTAGAGAGTGTGAGAGAGAGAGAGTGTGAGAGAGAGAGTGTGAGAGAGAGAGTGTGAGAGTGGTGGAGAGAAGGTGAGAGAGAGAGAGTGTGAGAGAGAGGTGTGAGGAGTGTGAGAGAGAGTGGGGGAGAGAGTGGTGAGAGAGAGAGTGTGGAGAGAGGAGTGTGAGAGAGAGGTGTGAGAGAGAGAGGGAGGAGAGGTGAGAGAGAGAGTGGAGAGAGAGGGAGAGGAGAGTGTGAGAGAGGTGAGAGGAGTGTGAGAGAGGTGAGAGAGAGTGTGGGAGAGAGTGTGAGAGAGAGAGTGTGAGAGAGTGAGAGAGAGAGTGTGAGAGAGAGAGAGAAAGTGTGAGAGAGAGAGTGTGAGAGAGAGAGAGTGTAGAGGGAGAGGGAGAGAGAGAGTGTGAGAGAGAGAAGAGAGTGTGAGAGAGAGAGAGAGTGTGAGAGAGAGTGGTGGGAGCGGACGCTGTGAGAGGTGTCTGAGACGGTTGTGAGAGAGGCGTGCTGGGAGGGTGAGGCGTCTCGCTAGAGTCTCGCGTCTGAGTCTAGTCGCTTGCGCTCTAGCTCTCATTAGCGTCTGCTCTCTAGAATCTCGCTCTCCTCTATATCCGCTCTCTTAGATCCTCTCTACGCGTATGATCTCCATGCTCGTCTAGTATCTCGTCGTGCTCATATCTCTTCTGCTAGATCTCTCTCTCTCTATATCTCTCCCTCGATATCTCGCTCTCTATATCTCTCTCTATATCTCTCTCTAGTATCTCTCTCTCTATATCTCTCCTCTAGATCTCGTCTCTATATCTCTCTCCTATTATCCTCTTCTATATCCTCTATCTATATCTCTCTATCTATATCCTCATCTTATATATCTATCTTAGATCGATATTCTCTCTCCGTATGATCATGACTCCTCGCATAACTCTCGCTCTCTATAACGCGTCCCAATCACTCCCCGTCCCGGTACCCAGACGATTGGGCTCACCTCGCGGCTGACCTCAGCATGCTCCTCCGAGATGATGCCCTCCCTGACCCAATGAGTTTTTTTTTTTTTTTTTTTTTTTTTTTTTTTTTTTTTTTTTTTTTTTTTTTTTTTTTTTTTTTTTTTTTTTTTTTTTTTTTTTTTTTTTTTCCCCTTTCCCTCCCTACCTTCTTAATCTTCTTCAACCTCTTTAATTTTTTATTTTTCCATATTTCCTAATTTCCCTTTTTCCCTTAACTTTTCATACCCAAACCCCCTCTTTCCTCTCAACCTCTCTATAATCCAAAATTTTTCCGTATTCCCTTCCTTATCTTCTATCAAAATCCCCCGTTCCCACATCATTTCCCCCAGCCCCTAAATTTCCCCACCTTTGGCCCTTTTGGGGGGTTTTTTTTGGGGGGCCTTGATTTTTTTTCTGGGGAGAGAGTGGGGGGGGGGGAGGGGGGGAAGGGGAGAAACGGGGTTTTTGCCCTTTTGGGGGGGTTTTTTTTAAAGGGTTTTTTAATTGGGTTTAAATTTTAAAAATTTTTTTTTAGGGGGGGGTTTTTTTTTTAAAAATTTTTTAAAATTTTTTAATTTTAAATTTTTTTTTGTGTTTAAGGATTTAAGGGGGTTTAAACCAAGTTACTTCTTATCGTCTCGCTAGACCTCCTCTAATTTCTGCTGTTACTCTCTCTCTAATGGTCTCCCCTTTTTCTCTCTCTCCATATCCCTCTCTATATCCCTCTATAATCTCTTCTTAAACTCTCTCTATACTCTCTCGTATATCTCTCGGGAAGCTCTCTATATTCTCTCTCTAGATCTCTCGTCGCTAATATCCTTCCTAGATCTCTCCTCTCTATATCTCCTCTCATATCTCCTCTCATATTTTCTCTCTTCTATAATCTCTCTCAATATCTCTCTCTCTTATATCCTCTCTATATCGCTCTCTCTATATCTCTCTTCTATATCTCTCTTTTTAATTCTCTCTATCTATATCTCTCTAATCTAT